CAGCACACTGACAATTCTCCCACTTGCACACCTATGATATATATATATATATACCCAGGAAGAGACCCACATGGAACCGGGCGAACGGCATGAACCTGCAAGGAAGATGACAGCTTCCTCCACAAACCAGTGGCTTTCAGGTTCCATGCTAATCTTCCAGGGCGTGTATACTGTTACTGTATATATGTGGCAACCAAGCTGTCCAAACAAACATCTCTGTGTCCAATCTGTCCAAAAAGAACCATGGAGCTTTGGGGTCCGTGACCATCCAAATGATCTCCATCCCCCAATCCTTCTGACCTTCCACATGTACTTGGCCGACCTCTTTTGGTTGACGTCGGAGAAGAGGTACTGAAAACCTAGACCATCCATGTGTATCATGTATGGAATTTTGCATACATTGGGGTCATAAATGGGGTAAACGTATATGTATATAACTATTGCATACTGTATATGAATTCATATATGGATGGTCTGGGCTTGGTACCTGCTTAGACCACCTGTGGCGATCCTTGCAATGACCGGTTTCAGAGCCCCCTTCCATCCCCATCCCCTTCCGACGGAAGACGCGCCCACACCAGGCCGCGGACCTCGTCCACGGGCCAGCGGCGTCGACCAGCGGCACCGGGCAAGCAGCGAGGCCTAAGAGCTCGTCACCGCGCCAAAGCTCAAAGAAAAGCTTCCTGAGCGCCACCGCGCGAAAGGTGGAAAAACCGCGGGAACGACAAGTCCTCTTTTCAACGACGGATTCGCTGAAGACGGAGAAGGTTCCGGCTCCAGATTCGCTTCCCTCAGCACCAGCGTCGTTAGAGCTGGTAACACCGGGTCGTTTCAGTAATTCTAGTGATGCCCCGCAGGTCTGTGCCTTATTGTGCCCTATGTTCGTCCACTCTGACCCAGTACTTTTGCCTCCCTAAGTGGGGTTTTTGTATGACCAGGTCCAGTAAAATGTGATCATTAACCTGTAGAGTAGTGACTCTTTGACCCTCCGATCTATCTCTCCCTACCTGATCCCTCCAACTCCCAGCCGGCAACTCCACATCGCCCAAACTCCGCATAGTTCAGTGTTGACCCCGCTTTTAGGGTCGCCGAGCATCTCGGGCCAAGGTCCAAAGACCACCTGCTTCAGTTCATCTAAACGCCAAGCTGGCTCCTCTGCCACCGCCGTCAAGCCAATCCGCCCCATGCCGCCTTCGTCCGTGACAGGGCGTGCAAGAACTTCCTGTTCGGGGGACAGCTTCGCCACCTCAAGACATGGCTGTGAGTCAAAGCGACTGATTGACCTTTGCGACCCAACCCGGCGAGACCTACCGGCGCGAGACCTGCCTGAGCGCTTTCCCCAAAGCCCTTCCGCTTCACCGGTGAGGGCTTCAGTGCCATGACCGGAGGTGCTGGTCGCCGACCCCCGAGTCCACCGGTCGACCGGGCTCCCGGGGTGGCATATAAACAGGGCTCCCGATCATGGGCAGGGGATTAGGATTCCCGAGGTTCATAGATATGCCGCCCCATCGACCCCCCAAAACCACCCCTGGCCTGATCGGCAGTCCCATGGCATACCCATGGGTGTCTGGGAGATAGAACTTGTGCGAGGAAAAAGCACGGACATCTCGGTTCAAGACCCCGGGAGCCGGAGGATACCCATGGTATCCTCATGGTCACCAGATGCTGGAGCTCCAACTACAGGTGTGGTGGGAGGCACGCGCAAAAGCATCAACTCACAGGGTGTCTCTCCAAATTCTGAAATGTTCATCACCGGGTGGTGGACTAAATTGGTGGTCACAGACCTTGAACGGTTTGAACATCCAAAACTAAGAAAAGCCGGGAGGCTGTGGATATGCGTTTTTCATGTTGCGTTTGGTCGTCTGACATGTAAAGTCTTACATCTTTATGTTCCTTCACTTTTATCTAGATTCTAGATAAGGCAAATACAACCCAATATGACACAAGTTTGAGGATTGGTCTTTTGAAGAAGATCTTGCAGTCTTTCCTTCATAGGAATCCGCTTCTTTCAAAGAACTGGATTGGATATTCTCATTCAAAAGATTCAAGAGTACCTTGTTTATGTGCCTTAACATCATTGTGTAAACCCACCGTCCTTTATCAAACCTACGCCTATATAATCAGTTGATAGTAATCCGCCGGCCTGCCGGCGTGTTTTGTGGATTGTTTTGGTTAGTATTGCTTGTATTGGTTAGTATTTACAGCCTTCGGCATGCCGCCGGCCACCAGCTTGAGCCCGCATTGGCAGACAGCTTAATGATACAATACCCTGCTCAAATCTGCTCAATCATACTTGTTGGTGCATTGGAGGTGCACATTTGGCTGGGTGAGTTTGTTGATGTTTATTTCAAGGTTGTTTGACCATGAAATGGAACAAATCCGAATCAGAGGTTGTCTATTCTGATCCAGCGATCCGAACCGGCATGTCTCAGTCGAATCACCTAAGAGGAACCAAGTGAAACCAACACAAGCAATGCGAACCAAGACTATCCAGAAAACATGACCTTGAAAACGATTCTTCTTCCAAACTACTTGGCCGTGTGCATGTTTTCCTTTTCAGATCTTTTTTTCGACCATCTCGAGGGGTTGCGACACGCACCAGATATTCTTTTTCACACACAGAAGGCTTCAAAGCGACCGAAGAATTTCTAGATCTGGCATGATTTGTCGTTTTTTTGAAATGAAAGACCCAGAATGACATCGAACAACAATACTCTGCTCAATCAGACTTGTGGGTGCATTGGAGTTGCACATTTTGCTGGGAGAGTTTGTTGCTGTGGATTTCAAGCGAAGTCGTTTTACAATGAAATGGAACGAATCCGAATCAGAGGTTTTCTATTCTGATCCAGCGATCGACATGTCTCAGTCCAATGGTTGTCTATTCTGATCCAGCGACCTACTACCTACTACCTACTACGTACCACCTACTACCTACTACCTACTACTGCTGCTACTACTGCTACTACTACTAGTACCACCACCACTACCGGGGGGGAGGGGGGGAGGGGCGTCAGGCCGTAGTAGGTTGTAGGTAGTAGGTCGCTGGATCAGAATAGACAACCATTGGACTGAGACATGTCGATCGCTGGATCAGAATAGACAACCTCTGATTCGGATTGGTTCCATTTCATTGTAAAACGACTTCGCTTGAAATCCACAGCAACAAACTCTCCCAGCAAAATGTGCAACTCCAATGCACCCACAAGTCTGATTGAGCAGGGTATTGTTGTTCGATGTCATTCTGGGTCTTTCATTTCAAACGGTTTGGAGAAAAAAACGACAAATCATCCAGATCTAGAAATTCTTCGGTCGCTTTGAAGCCTTCTGAGTGTGAAAAAAATATCTGGTGCGTGTCGCAATCCCTCGAGATGGTCGAAAAAAAGATCTGAAAAGGAAAACATGCACACGGCCAAGTAGTTTGGAAGAAGAATCGTTTTCAAGGTCATGTTTTGTGGATAGTCTTGGTTCGCATTGCTTGTGTTGGTTTCACGTGGTTCCTCTTAGGTGATTCGACTGAGACATGCCGGTTCGGATCGCTGGATCAGAATAGACAACCTCTGATTCGGATTTGTTCCATTTCATGGTCAAACAACCTTGAAATAAACATCAACAAACTCACCCAGCCAAATGTGCACCTCCAATGCACCAACAAGTATGATTGAGCAGATTTGAGCAGGGTATTGTATCATTAAGCTGCCTGCCAATGCGGGCTCGAGCTGGTGGCCGGCGGCATGCCGAAGGCTGTAAATATATATATAATTTGATTGTCTAAAGAATTGTCACTTGAAGAAGCACACCATCCGTTATGGGACCTGTGCCTACATACAAGAATTATGCATTAAACAAAGAAACAAAACACTCCTGTCTCACAGGTATCGCACGCTGTTTTCCCTTTATGGAACTCTCATCTTTGATCAGACTCTGATTGTATCTGATTGTAGGGTTGCGTCAGAAGAATGGGCAACGAGGAAATGTGTTTGGATTTGAAGACGCGCGAGTTTGCACGTGGCGAGCAAACCCGCAGGGAGCTACGGATTGCGCGGGTAGAACACGAAGGTCTATGCGCGGAGCCTCGAGAACATTCGTGTGCTAAACTAAACTCTATTTGTGTTAAACACGCAAAAAACGATCTTCTTTTTGAGTTACTAATAGCAATTGCCCATGGCCTCCAACCTAATAGCGATGGCCTCCACCCTAGTAGTGATGGTTTCTCTTTCGGTCAGTCCACAACCGCCGTGTGTTCGGTGCGACAACCTGCTACAAACATCATGCGACCCTTTCTTAAAATTTGGAGAAAATAGTGGCAGAGGGGAAAACTGAGGCTTACAGGCCACATCGCAGGTGACAAGTGCAGATTCATTATAACATACAACTCATCAAAAACTTCCCAACTGTGATTGAAACTTGAATATAACAAACAAATCAACAAATTCAACATAAAGCAATTCCTGAGAGGTCTCGGGCTGGCAACGGGGTCTCCCAAAGAGTCTGTATATATATATATAGATAGATATAGATTGTTCTGTTTGGGTTGCTTTGAGTTTTAGTTTCTGTGAGCCAACTCTTGGCTGAGGCCTGCGGTAGTGTACTTGCAAGTGCTGAGGTGACTTATTTCTCCGAAAGATATATACTGGAAAAGTGCACTTCCAAGGCCTCTTGTGCCAAAACATATCATCAGTGGCGGTTAACACGGCGAATACAAAAATCCAAGGACGCAAGCTAAAATGTGGGATACGATTGCCGCTTGAAGCGTTCCAAATTCATCCCAAATTCTATCCTGCGCTATTTGAGAAAGGAGATGGACCCACCAGCATGTCTCCCCTTTTTGTGACCACTGATATCTTGTCCGCGCCACCACATGCACGCCTTCCAAGGGCTCTCGCAAATGAAGTTTGTCCATGAAGACCTTCAAATGCACCGCACGAGTCTCGTGGTCTCCACGTAGTGGCTTCGAGGCCTTCACGAAGCCGACCAAGTCCTAGAAGCCCCCGAACCCGCGCCCCTCGGCGCTCGGGCTGAAGGTTGCGGCGGCTGGCTTGTTTTGGCTTCTTCGTTCAGTGGGTGGGGTACCAAAACATGCCAAATCCCCAGAAAAGCTCAGGGAAGGAGGCCAGGTTCTGGTTCTCAAGCTTTTGAACCATCTTGGAGGCGTGGCCATGGACGTGTAAAAAATGCGACGTACCACTTGCAGCGGTGCTGACATCCATGGCACGTTTTCTCAGCACCTTCTTTTTTTAGATTTTCCAGTGGCCTGTCCGTTGGAGCTGTAGCACAAACCCCAACACCATGTGGGTCCATGGGCCCCGTCCACAGTCGGCGAGTTTCGCCCGTAGCGTTTCGGTCGCCTTCCTGGGTTGGGTGGGAGCCCCGAACGGCCCTTTCGTCCTTTGTGACGTCCGCTTCGCGAGGCGTTCCGCTTCGCGAGCCTGGGGCGAAGGGCCCTTTCGCGTCCTTCGTTCGCTCCGTTCGGTTCAGGCCAGGTTCAGGTTTCGCCCCTAACTCGTGCCTGGAACCCCAAACAACCAGAAACAAATGGTTGTTCCAATATGGCAATTGAAATCCTTTACATGGGAAAGGGTTGTTTGGGGAAACATCCATTTCTTTCTGGTTGTTTGGGGTTCCAGGTGGCGGAACTGGACCCCCAACAGATCTGAACGGGACGCGGGACGCGGGTCGCGGGTCGGTGAGGACGGGAGGTTGGACCCCATAGCACCCGCCGTGAGGACGGGTGTCCACACGGAGGGATCGCGGTGTCGCGCAGTGATGGACCAAAGGAGCTGGAAAAGGGCCAACCCAAACCATGGGATTTTCTCCAATCTTCATGTTGATCACCACAACTCCTTCTCGAAGCTGGCGAAAGAAACACATTGAGTATAAACAGGAAAGAAATGTGTGTGTGTGT